AATCAATTCGCAAGCTCTTCTTGTGTTTTCATCCAGTTAATTAGTTTCGCTGATTGTTGGAAAGGAGCAATTAGGTATGATCTTTCTTATTACGTAATACAGTTATTAGAATACCCGTTCGCAGAGACATGATAAAAGTATAGTACGACTTACTGGTTGTTCTACCGTACGAATTTTAAGCAAAATAAAAATACTATTGTGGTTGGTTGGGTGGAAGTACAATACGCACATAACGAGAAAGTAACCAATTTTGAAAAATGTGGTTGTACCCTCGGAGATTCAAAAAAGACAAATTTCCAACTAGAAACAAACTGTCAGATCATTATATTTTGATGAAACAAGAAAATTTGCTCAGTTTGTGGGACAACTGTTGTTACTGCCATGCTACAATATTTCATGCATTGACAGGATTTTCTGCATATTATAGCTACTAAATTGGATTTGGACGCATGCCGGTATATTAAGTAGACTAAAAACCACTTGTGATTAGAAATAAATGTCACTAACTGGTGGAATCATTTGGAATGCACTCGTTCGATAATAATATACAGCTATCATTAATAATATTGATAGTATTAATTTGTTAATCTAATTTGAAGTGTGTATAATTCCATTCGAAATTAAGACCCTTCAAAACCCTTGTAATAATTTAATATTATAGCCTGTGATGATTTTCCTTAAAACGAGGAATATTGCGAAATGGCTTGTACCCGTCTAAGTAAACTGTGTGTTTTTAACTTGCACTGAGAAAGGAAATTTTCATAGAATTTTCGCAGTCATGTATCCGATATTGTAAGTATAGGTGTGGCAAAAATTGGAAAATGTGGAATTTCACAAAATGAAAGTACCTATTGTTATGTCAATATTCAATAGGTAGTGCATATGAAAGCAGCAATTTTAACTACAAGGGGCTCTCTTCCAGCAGGCTGAAAATTGTAAAAGAGGTAAACATTGCGAACTTGGAGATGATCCTTCTTCAATATACCTCTACTGTTTTGCACAATGTTCACTTTAAAAGAGCCCCTGCAGGAATTGCGTCTTTCATCCAATTATATTCTTTAAATCAACCGGCCCAAGCTTTTCATAAATTCTCTCTCTTCTCAGGCAGAAGAGTATGTGGCGAACGAGTCACTGTCGTGTGATTTTGACCAATTTCATGATAAAAGTGTGTGGATACGGTGGGTTTAAGTGATATATGCACGCGTGTCTGGAGGTAAAGTCCCGCAAATTCTGGCTTAACGAAAACAATCATAAGGCAGCGTTCCAGTTATTTATTACAGTTCATTGACGCGCCGTGGTTTCACCATGTTTCTTATAACAGGTGGGAAATTTGCCAGCCTCATATACCTATGTGCAAGGGTGTAACCACTTCCCTCTATTGCTTGATTGTTTTGGTCTAGTAACTAATTTTATAACACTAATAACTACTGTATTCACTTTAGTAATTTATAGCAGGGAGGGGGATGGGATGTTTCCTCTTCGTGATTGAACATGCATGGGTATGTTTTTGCGCGTATATTTTCCCCTGTTTACAAATTTACTATATTTCCACATGAATGAATATATATGAATATATATAATACACTATAACTCTACAGACGAACATGCATGACATTTGACACATTTTCACGACACTGGATGTTATGCCAGGCTCGGATCAGTTACAGGGGTCAGAATAGAGAATATACCATGTCTCACGGTTGTTTTTTGAGAAAAATTAGACTAAAATCATTAAAATTTTAAATTTATATGTATAATAGACAAAGAGCCGTGCCTCACTTCGCGCCGGTGTCTGACTGTATAAATGTAAAAGAAAAAAAATATCTTGGCATGTTATGTGGCGTGCTCAAGCCCCTATGATTTATTTTAAGTAGATACGTACAGATTATACAATTATATATAATGCTATATTTACTATCAACTTCTATATTTATATATATATATATATCTCGGAAGCATTTGCAATGGTGCATCCGCGGCAACTAGCTGTTCCTTATTCTATTAGTGTTAGTCTATATTTACAGTTAATCCTATAATAATCAATTATCCGATGTCTGTTACACCATCCTCTTATCCAGCATTTTCCGATATCCGTTACACCCTTCTCGTCTCGAGGACGAGGTCGCCTGTTTTATAAGTCAAATGAATTTATTAGTTTTGAGTTGTAAGTCAATAAGGTATGGGCCAGCTCAATTTTTTTTAACTTTTATTAAACTCTCGTATGCTAATAAAGAAAGAGTCCTTTCATTTTCCGTCTGGTTAGGAGTATTCGTCGATAATCCAGTATAATATTTTAGAATTTCAAGCGGTTGTATATATGCATGTGTTCCTATGTACAGAGTGGGACAATACCACCGAAGTAAAGCCCGCTCCACACGAGAGCTATCAGTTGAGGTAACGACCTCGCGGGACAGTTAGCTGATAACTCAGCCCGAAAACCATTCGCACACAGGAGAAACTTGCCGCTCGAGGCGATTTCCTCATGAAACCCATCCGCACACGAAAGTAACTTGCTGGGCTAACATGCAGCCTCGCGAGGTCTTAAAACTCAAATGTTCAAAATTTTTAAATTTTCAATTGAAAATTTTGAAAATTTCCTAACGTTTGTATTATCTCAGTTGTCATAAATGTCCCCTAAATAACTGCTTAATAAGGCAATTTGAAAATTAAAATCAAAATTGTGGTAGGAAGGTTAGAAATTATCCTAATAAGAAGCCTTCGCAGACATACACTGGCACTGGTAGAAATGCAGGAAATTTTTTTAACTCAATGAACTGAGTTCAATGAGTTATATATTGTATATATAATGCTATATTTATTATCAACTTCTATATTTATAAAATCTCGGAAGCACTTGCAATGGTGCATCCGCGGCAACTAACTGTTCCTTACTCTATTAGTGTTAGTCTATATTTACATTTAATCCTAATAATCAATTATCCGATCTCCGTTACACCATCCTCTTACCATTTTCCGATTATCAGTATCAACAGGAAGTTTACTTCGTGGGATAAAAAACCACTCCCCGACCTGGTTATATAAAGGGAGAATTTAAGAACTGCTAAGCTAAGCACAAAAATTCGTTGCTGGTTTAAAGCAACATTGTACGCATGAACATGCAGTTGCTAAACGGAAACCATTATAGAAGAACAAGGTAGAAAAAACAGCAACTTGTCTCACAAATGTAAGTATTTTATTTGGTTACTTTATTAGCTAATATGAATAAGCACTGAACGAAGTGATAATATACAAGACATAAATTACCTGCAACACATGTGTCAAATTATTTTACTTTTTCACCAATTGTGTTTTAGCGAGGTTTTACTTGTCAATAGCAATGAATTCTATATCATCCGTATGGAGAAGCAGCATAACGGAAGTTCCAGGAGATATATTTCAGCGATGTACTTCAGAAAGCTGTGAGTGCGGAGGTAAACTGTTTCATTGCCCACTATGTACTCCAACGAAAATCAAAGGATTGAAACGATGCAAGTTGCTTAAACATTTTCATGCTATTCACTGGAAAACAAGAATCTCTTTTGACGGTAAGCTGTATGTATAGTCATTTTTACCAAGTCATATAGATTACAGTTTACACGGGCAGCAAAAGGATGTGGAATGACCATCGTCTCAGGATAATTATCAGTATAGACTACATATAGTTCACTCCATGCATGCATGCAAGAGTTGTTCGTGCAATTACTTGATACAACGAAGGCCGAAATGTTTGTGCATGGAAGTTAATGAATTTTTTACTTCACCTAATCATAACAAATTTTAAGTCATTGAGGACGTCACTTCATAATGCACTTGGCTATAAATATGTAGCTCATACTTTTAAGTTCTGGTTAATTTTAGAATGGACTGTTTCAAGATCATGTTTTCTTTTACCTATTTTAGAATTTGTCATTTTAAGATGTCGGCTTGAATGCATTTCCTCAGACGGAAGCATGGTTAACAATGTTTCGCATTTTCACTGTTGCTCCTGTGATAGAATTTTCGAGCGAACTGACTCGTTTACTAATCATTTGTATTCCCACAAGAGGCAAACTCTTGCTCGCGACCAATCACTTACAGGACAGTCGCAAACATCTGACTTACAGGATCGTGAATCGCGCACGAGTTCAAGCGACATTAATAACCAGCAAGGTACTTTAGAGTGCGAGTCATGTTTGAAATGTTTTTCATCCAAAAAATCACTTCGGAACCACATAAAATACATTCATGTCACACCCGATTACATAAATGCTAACAGACATCTTTACGGAGTTTGCGTTGATTCGCGCAAGGGACTATATTTGGTAAGACGCTCATTTAGTGGCACTAGTCATCCTATTCATGTTCTTCACAGCTTTGGAAGCGAAGGTGGATTCTCATGCGAATTAGACGAATGTAGGGAAGTTTCTAAGACAGCGAGAAGAAGCGGGAATCCAAATTTTACTTGCTGTCATTTGAAAAGCGTGCCGTACGTTTCGGAACCATTCAAAGGGCCACCTAAAATTACACAAAGAGCACTCGAAGAACTAATTGTTAAAATGAAGTGGCTTAAACAAAGCAGAGAACAAGAATGCCTTCAAGCACAAATGGTAGCAGAAAGTGCAAGCGCGCCAGCTGATTGTCGAGTTTTGCAACAAAAACGAAACTTCAAACAGATTTCGCCACTTCTCAGTATATGTAGGAGAAGTACACCATTATTCCCGATTTAAAAGAGTGGTAGTGTTGTTCGATATTACTTTAAATAAATGGTCTTGCGGTTGCTGCCATTTGAAGGTCACCTGCGTCCATAAAGCTTTCGGAAAGTGGTATCTATATCAGGTGAGACCAGATGATTTGTCCAATGACAGTACACCACAAGAATCAGAAACCGCGGCAATAAACGACTACGGAAACAATGTCAGTGAAAGTGAATGGGTAGATAATCCAGCCGAAGAAGAGACTCTTTTTGTAAACGTTGGAGAGTACCCCCCAAACGACTTACAGCTAACCAGAATGGTAGAATACATATATTCAGCGAAGAGAATTCCGCCATCTCTACCACGATCATTGACACATGATGCTGATGTTCTGTCCTTTCCACGTGTTCTGGTACCAATAGAAGAAACGTGCTGCAATTGCGAAGGTATTGCCCTTAGCAAAGAGAAATTGATTACACGGAAAGGAAAGATATTTACTTTAACCAAAGTTATTGAAGGTAAGTTTGTGCTAATGCACCCAGAGCTTTCGATAACACATCACGCTCAATATTTATGATTATGCAGTCAGCTACGTTAACATGGCGTTCAAATTGAAAAGGGTATTATTTCATGGTTACGGAATTTCTTTCAAAATGCATGTTTAAAATTTTTCAGATGTTGAACTATGTTACAAATCATGTCCACAATGTGGACTGATATACCGATATCAGGAGTATACGGATGGGCTTCATAACTTTGACGATTACCATTGCTTTAGTCTAAGCTTCCTGTTGCTGTTACGAGCATTTGTCGAGGTAAGCTGGTAGAGAAGCCAAAAATTAGTGACTCCTGCACCTGCAGGACTCGACTGATAAAGTTATATTTAAATTATTGCAGGAGCATACAGCATTAGGAAGAGTCACATCAGCAGTTGGTAGCACTGCCGGAGTGAAACTTAATCAAACCGTTGTGCGAAATGCTTACTATCATTTTGAAGCTCTTACTGAACACATATACGATTTTACATGTGTGCTCTGCGGAAATCACCCTCCACATCTAAACTGGGATCTTTGCAAGAAAGGGTGTTTCTCAATCGCACGTAAGTGCACCGTCTTGTTCTCTATATATATACATATATTAAGGCCTAAGTACGTTATATATTTTTTATCAAAAAATAGTATGCGATCTAGATATTCCACCTGAATGTGACGACTCAGACCGTGTAAGCATTAGAGAGTTCTGGAAAAGTGTTGAAGTGATGCATTTAGCAAGAGGTGTAAACGGTAAGTATATATGGACCTAGTTACATCTATATCCACACGTAATACAAAAATATACTAAATTTGTCAACTTCGCCTGGCTAAAACCTAATAAAACTTTTATACTAATTTAAAACTTTAATTCACACCCAAAATATAGCGAACAAGAGTTCCTCATTTCAAGTGAAGGCCAACTATTAGTTCTGGGCTCCATGGATTGGTCCGCACACAAGAAAAGGGGACAGTGAATATAACACGGAGTACAGAAAGTGTCATAGAATCCCAGAAAGTGACCAGTTGCTTGAGGATATGAATTTAACAACATATTCTGAAGAGGATCTACTGGACATGATGAATTTTGCGCAGGTATAGATTAAAAAACATGAGTTCATACAAATCTCTAAACCAAGCATGCTTGCATGCATTAACGAAGTCTCAGGTTCAGTTATCGCGGATGCAATCTCAAAATTGGCTAAACCTGTCATAACTGTCCCCACAATGATTATTTGAATTAAAAATACGATTCTCAACAAATGTCTCACATAACAAACACTTCACACGATAATATTTGCATTTTTCTAATTTTGCAAAAGCTTTTTGACATGCATGAATGTTGAACCCATGCATGAAATTAATGTTGCTATATCAACGTCAATGTTTTTTTCTATATAATAGGTCCATGTGTTGCAGAGGTTGTGTGGTCAGCTGGGAGCGAAAGGCAGTTCACATCTACCCAAAAACGACGCTATATCATTCCTGAGAAAGAAGTTGAATGTACCAACACACTACAAAAAGATATTTACAAAGATATGGGGAGCGTCGGGTAAGTGTTTTAATGACTAGTTTTATATGTTTACATGCAGAATTGTAAAGCGACGATTTGACTGATTTGTATGATTTTCCTGCTTGTTATCTTTTTAGGTGGATGGGCGTCAGGCTCTTGTCCGCACAACAGAATTTATGCAATCAAGTTCGTCCTCAGAAGCGAGGGACCGCGGGATTATTCAGACCTTCTTCCATGTTTTAAGTATCCACCTACATTCAACGTATCTGACATCCCACAAAGACTTGCCCACCTGATGAATCGACTTGAGCCAGGTTTTTTCAATCCTAACGAAGGAAAACCCTTTCCTTCATCGGACGAAAATATCCGACTGGCGACAGATGGCAAACTGAAAAAACACTTTCCATGGTGGACATGTTCAGCACTTACCAATGCCAAGCTGGTTCAACGACCGATGACACACATCCAGTGACAGGAACGAAAGAGCGTTACAGCATGTATGACAGATTCCACGAGAAAAATTCCAACAACCCAGACAATGTGCTTCGACTATGGAAAGCCGATGCTGCCAAAAGTCCTACAAATAGGTCATATACCTTTGAGTTACAAAAAGCTATGCTTGAGCTAACTTTTCATATAATTGAGCTGAAAATGCTATGGTTCAACCACGAAATGACATAGTCGAGTTTTGACATTTCTCGCCTGCGAGTTTTGACATTTCTCGCCTGCGAGTTTTCATATTTCTCGCCTGCGAGTTTTAACATTTCTCGCCTGCGAGTTTTAACATTTCTCGCCTGCGAGTTTTAACATTCTCGCGCGAAGCGAGTTTCGCGCGTGGCGGCATATATAATTTTCGGTGTCTTCGTAAGTCTTTGTATTAGATCGTACGCGATCGCTGCAACGCATGGCCTACGCGCGATTGCATGGCGGAGTTGACTCTATCTTGTTTATCTACTTTAAATAAAACCATGTCGATGAATCCTATTATTCAGCAAATATTGCAAAACATCGATAGACTAGGACAGGAACTACAACGAGCCGACAGGAACAACAACAACCGTGCAAATAATCTAGAAACTCCAAGTGCCCCAACTCAGAATACGGTACGTATATTAACTATTTATTAAAGTCGTTTAACATAACAGATTAATTTATGGATATTTTATTCATGGTCGGTCAAATATACAATTGATTTGTCAAGCATTGTTCAACAGCACCCACGTTAAAAACAAAGAAAACAAGACTCTGTCTGCAGGCTACGGTGATGATGTCAGCCATGGCCCATCCTCCCCTGAGCTGTCCCCCACTGCAATTTAGCCTAACACCCCACCCCACCCCTCTTCACACACACATACAGTATTAGCACTTCAACATGGTGGTGGTAAAGTTGATAAATCGTTGTAGTACCAGGCCTTTTTTTTAAATACATTTTTGCGTGGTTGAAGGAAATATTGTAATTGTTTTTTTGAAAGTTTTAGTTAAAAGTCTGCTTGCTGGAGCCAATTTTTATTGTTGTTATTCTTTTGGCAGCAGATCAACTTCTGCAAGTACTAGTGCCTCACCTGTTTCTGCAGTGCTGTGTTCATTCACTTCTACCCAGTTCCTTATGATCCCCCAAATAAGACATGGCTAATGGGAACGAACTGGAAAGTTATTTTAGAGATTTTAATGACTTGTTGCGACAGTTGGACAATATATCAGACAATATGCTGACAGAATATCTGGAAAGAAAGTTAGAATATTTCATTGTTGTCCTTTTTGGGATCATCTGTTTGCTTCAAAATGCTGAAAATGTTGAAGGGGATGAGACCTGCAATATACTTGTACTTTTAAGGCAATTATACATGTTTAGTTATACTAAATAAGATGAAGTCAAAGGCCGAATCGCAGCAGAACAGTCAATGTTGCAATCTTCGCAATATTTGCCCAATCAGGAGATGACTCATGGACGGCCAAAGTTAATTATCTCTAAGCCTCAGCTTGAGTATCTTCGTGAATATGGATGTCTTGGAGGAAAATCTCTAAATGTCTTAATGTTAGCGAAAGAACAATATACAGGAAAGTGGCAGAATTTAACCTGTATACAGAATATTCTGCTATGAGCGATGCAGAGCTAGATATATTGCTCAAGGAGATATTAGCATTAACTCCAAATGTGGGAGAGAGTTATGTGCGAGGTAGTTTACGAGGTTGAGGTATTGTCATACAACGCTGGAGGGTGAGAAATCGCCTTCAAGTTGTAGACCCTATAGGACGAGCTGTTAGGTGGGGTAATTCTATACGAAGACGGGTTTACAATGTCAAATCACCTAACAGTTTGTGGCACTTAGACTCTAACCATAAACTGATTTCATGGAGATTTGTGTTCCATGGGTGCGTGGATGGTTACAGTAGGGCCATAATTTATTTGCGATGTGCAACTAATAATTTGTCCGCCGAGACCTTGTGTTATTTCCAGGACGGTGTTGTTCAATATGGTCTTCCCAGTAGGGTGCGTGGTGACCGAGGAGTGGAGAATTATGATGTTGCCCGTTTTATGATCTCATCACGTGGCACTAACAGGGGAAGTTTCATCGCAGGCAGAAGTGTCCATAACACCAGAATAGAAAGACTTTGGAGAGAGGTAGTTAGAGTAGTTGTTGAATTGTATAAAGGTATATTTCAGCATATGGAACAATATGGGATCCTAGACCGCAACAGTGAATTGGACATGTATGTTCTGCATTATGTTTTTCTGCCTCGTATTCGTAAATCTAATGATGAACTTATTCTACAGTGGAACTATCATGGAATGAGAACGGCAGGACAATCGTCTCCTCTTGCCCTTTGGAATTATGGCATGCTAACACAAAACACAAATGCCTACACTGACATTGTAGAAGATATTGAGAATTATGGCATTGACTATGAGATAATAAGAGAGGATAGTGATGAGGAAGATGGAATTTGTGTTCCTTTAAATCAAGTAGAACTTACCGAGGAAGAGCAGATAGAGCTCCGGGAACAATTTGATCCTCTGAGTGATGACAGAGACTCAGGGATACAACATTTTCTTAATGTTCGTTCATACATTTTAAATAACTTTAATAGTAATTAACATTAATTTGCGTTCATAACTTGCATACTGTAATAGTTGTGTTAACAAAACTGCAACAATACAAATGTGTAACTTTAAAAATTAATTCAACTAGACAAATGTTTGAACAACAGTTTTTATGTTCTCTATAAAACATACAGGCTACTGTAGGGTATGGGAACAATCGCTAAGCCCTGCCAAAGTATGCGTTTGCAAATGCTATATCATAAATGTCAAATAGCACAGCTTCTTCTGGCCGAGTAAGCTTCCCTGATACACCTCTTGGTAGATGTAATGTGTTGGTGCATGTGTTTGCTGACGGAACGAATGACCAGGGACTGGGGTCATCTGCAGGTGGAAAGGTTATAGTTGGGGACAATCCAAAGGCAAGTGGAGGTTCCATGTCTGCCCCAGTAACAAATTGCAATATGTGTTCCAATGTTATTGAGCCCCTTGTCCCACTCGCTGCAGCTTGTAAGTATTTGAGAAAGCACTGATAGGCCACATTCTCATCTGAACGGGCATTTGACCCTTCCTCAGAAAAGCTAGGAGAAAGGATATGAGTCAGCTTTCTCCTAGACAATGTTGCAGTGGGCGACTCATGGAAAAGATACAGGAAGCTAGGGATTGCTTTTCCTATTTGATACACTCCCAGTTTTTCTAAACCTCTACGAAGACTCTGCAAGCATCGGGATGGGCTTTCAGAAAAAAAAAGCTCTTGCAGGTTATCTGGAGGAATGAACCTTGGAATATTGCCATTTTGTAAAATGCTTAAAGCCATAATTAAGCCAATAACAGTGTAGTCGGCAAATAGATGATCCTTGAGTCCACCATCAAAGTATCAAGCTTTGATTTCCTGCATACACAGCCGAAAAAATTCTCTCCTCGGCCCACCATAGTCTGTGGCTGCCTCCCCATAAAAGGACACCTGCAGTGATCAAATAAGCCAAATTACATCCAAATTTGTGTACAATTCACACTTTAGTAATAACTAGTCTCATAATAAACTGGATGGATCAACTACACCTTAATGAAAAATCAAGCCAAGAATTAATACATTTCTGAATGTGGATTAATTGAATTGAATTAATTGCTCTATCCAGTCTATTATGACATCAGTGGTAGATGAGAACCTACAGTAGTGACAACTAAGGAGTGAGTCTTGGCAATACAGCTTAAGCAACATATCAATGCAGGAAAACCATACTGTCAGATTCAGATATCATGATTAAATCATAATGACAATGTTGGAGAATAAATATTTAACAATGTGTCACTAATACCCAAGGAGTCATTTTCAAACTTTACTCCAAAAATGACCATTTTCATCAAATCACAGTTAATAGAATATACATGGTTTGGAGACCACGTAAAACTACAATACAACTCATTAACTATGTTGAGGTACATTTATGCAGAAAGTTGTCCCTTTCTCATCACATGTCTATTGTATTTTGCACAGATAAACCAATAGCAATCTTTTAATTAACATATTTTTAAGTCAAGGTTGAGGAGCTTAGCAAGACAAATGCCATTGGTCAGTTTGGCTAAAATACAATAGACACGTGACGAGAAAGGAACCGTTTTTTGCATAAACCTGGACAATAACATAGTTAATGAGTTGTATTGTATTTTTACGTGGTCTCCAAACCATGTATATTCTATCAACTGTGATCAAATGAATGTTATGTATACTTCTCATCTGACAACATGGAATCTCAAATTAACATCAACATATTTAATTTAATTAAATTTTAATATTTATCAAATTAATTTTATTTATTTAATTTTAACATCAAATTAATTTATTTCATTTTAATATTCATCAAATTAATTTATTTAATTTTAATATTTATTGAATTCTAATTTGTACATCACCAACTACATGCCTCCAATGTTAATCTTGGATTGATCAAGGGCATTATTTCTTCCATTGCACTGTTCAACACATCTTGGCGGTTAATCAGAATATAGTTTGTCTCTCCCTCTACACATTTAGTGAGGGATACGACGTCTAACTTCCGACCTGTTACAATAAATTGTTGGGCAACTCTTAATATTTCCACTGGGTCTTCGATATTTTTCTCATGACAGTAATCAATGCATTGCTGTACAATAACATGATCAATGCCAGATGGTGGGTCATTTGCTGTTGGGTTAGGGAATTGTGTGGGCTGGTGGTTGGTGGGTTATGGGATTGCAGGTAAGTGGTTGGTGGGTCTGGATTTTGGAAACTGGTGGTCATTGAGTGAGAGGCTTGCAGGCTGGTGGTTTGTGTGCAAGTGGTTGTTGGGCTACTGGTAATTGGTAGGCTAGTCGGTAGGCTAGTCAGTGAACTAGTAGTTGATGAGTCAATTTCTATCACTTCCACATCTTTCTTTCGGGACTGCTCTGGTTCAATGGCATCTAAGTAAAATAAAACTACAGTATTATAAAAAACAATATATATAAAATATTGGAAAGTTTTTCCTGGTTCAAATGCAATAACTTTATGATCTACATAAACTCCCACTTTCTTATAATAATCCACATTCTCAATTAAGGGTTGATGAAAACATGCAGCACCAGCGCTGGTTTTACACAGTGGCAAATGTGGCAAATGCCACGGGCCCCGCGCCTTTTAGGGCCCCACGATTTACGCTAAAAGTATATATATATATATAAATCGCATATAAATCGTCGTCTCAGTGACCCAACATCACCTTATGCGAAATGCGAATAATATATAACATAACACACATATACACACTACACAGTTAAGTCAGTGCTTCTAACTGCATTTTTAGGAACGCTATGTCACTATAGAGAAAGCAAAAATTTGGGGCCCCGCGCGAAGAAAATGACACGGGCCCCGCGGTGTGGAAACGCGGCCCTGTGCAGCACTTTATAGAGAGAGATCACTGATCAGTTAAAATATATTATACATACCAAATACTGCACAGTCATCTTCCCAGATTGAATTCATTGCAAATTCCTAAATAATAAAGAATATCCTATTGTGAATATAGGCAGTAGACAGTATGGTTCCAAGTGCAATTTGGGAAAACATAAATGAGTCACTATCAAAATTGCATCACTCCAGAAGGACAATTAGTGCAATTTAATGCCTCTAAAAACTCACAAGACATGTGAACATTATGTTTTCCCAAATTGCATGAGAAACGATAGATGATAAAATCTTTGCTAAGTGTTTCTTTGCCCCATTCCAAATACTAAGATTCCCAACAACTTTCAAAACAAATATGGCAAAATATCACAACTAGATTTGGTACAGTCATGCCAAGTGCTATGTAGTCTGTAACATAGTGTAATTACAACATCCATACCTCAAAAGCCTCATCTTCCAACTTTTCTTTCTTTGCCAGTGGCTCATCAATTTCCATAGTCAGGATTAGTCGAGAAGGTCGTATGTAAAGTGGGTTGTCCTTGAATATTTTTTGCAGTACAAAACCAGAGAGTGACTGCTCTGGTGCCAGAGTAGGTGGTAACAATTTAGAATGAACTGACAGTAAAATTTCAACATCATCTGAATCCATCAGCTTTGATGGGAATAACTGTTTAAGAAATGACAACAGTTTATCGCTATCCCACTCTTTTCTAAGCTGCACACCAGAGAGAATATGGTGATGTTCCATTAACCATACACGGCTACCTTGGCGTGGTACAGTAGTATCATTCGGACCACTTAACAAAATCACATCCTTTGTAAAAGGACCTGTAGCTGGCTTATCTTTTTTCCTGCCTCTGTTTGTCTGGGGAAAATTTTGGCGAAGCCTGAAACGTGGAGCTGTGTTCGATGCAGCAGGTAATCGTTGAGTGGACAGAGCAGAAACAGGGGAGGCATTAGTACTTGCAGAAGTTGGTCCCCTAAAAATTCTTGAAACTTCAGTGCTGGTACTAGCCTGCCAAAAGAATAACAACAATAAAAATTGGCTCCAGCAAGCAGACTTTTAACTAAAACTTTCAAAAAAACAATTACAATATTTCCTTCAACCATGCAAAAATGTATTTAAAAAAAAGGCCTGGTACTACAACGATTTATCAACTTTACCACCACCATGTCGAAGTGCTAATACTGTATGTGTGTGTGAAGAGGGGTGGGGTGGGGTGTTAGGCTAAATTGCAGTGGGGGACAGCTCAGGGGAGGATGGGCCATGGCTGACATCATCACCGTAGCCTGCAGACAGAGTCTTGTTTTCTTTGTTTTTAACGTGGGTGTTGTTGAACAATGCTTGACAAATCAATTGTATATTTGACCGACCATGAATAAAATATCCATAAATTAATCTGTTATGTTAAACGACTTTAATAAATAGTTAATATACGTACCGTATTCTGAGTTGGGGCACTTGGAGTTTCTAGATTATTTGCACGGTTGTTGTTGTTCCTGTCGGCTCGTTGTAGTTCCTGTCCTAGTCTATCGATGTTTTGCAATATTTGCTGAATAATAGGATTCATCGACATGGTTTTATTTAAAGTAGATAAACAAGATAGAGTCAACTCCGCCATGCAATCGCGCGTAGGCCATGCGTTGCAGCGATCGCGTACGATCTAATACGAAGACTTACGAAGACACCGAAAATTATATATGCTGCCACGCGCGAAACTCGCTTCGCGCGAGAATGTTAAAACTCGCAGGCGAGAAATGTTAAAACTCGCAGGCGAGAAATATGAAAACTCGCAGGCGAGAAATGTCAAAACTCGACTATGTCATTTCGTGGTTGAACCATAGCATTTTCAGCTCAATTATATGAAAAGTTAGCTCAAGCATAGCTTTTTGTAACTCAAAGGTATATGACCTATTTGTAGGACTTTTGGCAGCATCGGCTTTCCATATTCGACGATTAGTGATATGCCCGCAGCTCCACGCAAATGTAAACAGCCAGTCGCACGAACAACTTCACAGTGTAATGAACAAAGACAACTATTTCCTCAACATGATGCAACCAGCTACACACGTATTCATGAAACGACTTCTTGTTCATCTGCAAAACAAGAAAAAAAACAACGAGGAGATCGGTCGTCAAGAGCAGGCCCTACAAAAGCATGGATTAGTAGCACATACGACTGTTGATTCATTAGGAAGGATCATTATCGCTGGAAATATAGGTAGAGCACTATTGTATTAGGCCTACGCATATATACCTATTCACATTTATATTACACAAGAGGGGTTTGATACACTGCCTTATTTCCCTGCAGATGCTGCTTTTGGGACACATTCAAGTGACGAGAATACGGTTAGCAGTCCTACTGGCAATGTCAATGAAGCGAGAGTTGACAACCCTTGGGAAAAGGAAGAATTGACGGAAGAACCTGACGTTCGGTTTATACCTCGAGTAAGGATCTTTTATTTATAATTGTGCATGCATATTTATCACTATATATAAGTTGCTTAATTTCTTCATTAAGTACCGTTAGTAAAATTTATTAAATTCATATAATTGTATGTAATCCGAAAATTGTCATTTTCTCTAATCATGTAGCTATAACTATAAAAAAGAGGTCAGTACTATACCCACTGTTGCACTCTTTCTTTTGAAAGGACTAGAAAATCCACCGAAGAAAAATCGTTGCTTTGTAAACAGCTTATTGCAATGTCTGGCATCGTGTATTCCAGTGAAATCCCCCAGCGGAAGCGACCTTTCGTGGTTGTTGTTTTACTTAGCCCGAACATACATCGAAGTTAGACAAGAAGATGTATCCCAGAAATTGGAGAGCCTTGCGTCTAAACTCGTGAATTCGAACGATCCCGATGATCCAGGCGATTTTCTTTACAGTCTTTTACGCTACACTTCGTCTGTAGGCGATGAAGCACTGCAGAGGTAATGTAAAGTAATTAACATGTCGTTGAACAGACTTCTATCTGTATATATACAGGGTGAATAAAAAACTGATCACTGTTCAAATACAAATTTGCCGCATATTTGGCGAATCATTAATCGTGAATCTAAAAGAGAAATCTTGTTGGCGCTGGAAGTTAAAATGTATTCTAATTGTTCGAGATGATAAAACTGTTATCAACTGTGCCTGTTGGAAATTCTTCAATTAGGAAAATTATTATGAGCATCAGTTTTTTATACTCACCCTATAAATTATTCAAAAAAGACAAAAGTGATATAGCAACAATATTATATACAATTAATTTAGTATAATACCTATCTGTTGCTTGACTCAATTATAAATGTTCCGATCTATTGATATCGCATGGCATCAATATAAAACATCCATTCCATTAAAATATCAGTGCCTGTCGTGGAGTTGAAAGGGTGCAGTTAGTATGCTGAAGTTGTGGAAAACATAACGAGCACCAGGATGTTGCCTTCACAGTTTTAAACCTGCCAAGTAGAGAAAAATGTCTTCAAACGGTGGAAAATATGCTGCTAAACTACTTCGAGCTGGAAGATAAGGAACTTAAATCTTCATTTTGGTACGGATATATAGTATAGCATTTCGTCGTTAATATAATATACATTGTGATTATGCTTTAGTATATACGATAGACTATTGAGACATGTTGATTAATTATAGTGTCTGTGAAGAAAAAGAGAAAGATATCGTAGAATTGCGACAGCGAATGAAACTACCATCGAGTCTAATTTGCAACATCCTCCCAGTAACAAAGAATGGGGAAAAACAGCATGTTCGCCTTAAGTTACAGGAATTAATTGGCGTTCACGACTAGTTGGGACGAAGACATACATACAAACTTTCAGCTTTTATAGTAAGTATAAATGTATATTCAAACGATTTGAAAAGCGGGCTTGATTTCTTTTGTACGGGCTTCGCGTTGACGTGCACAATTAAATGTTTCATATAGACACACTATGGAATTGATGCAAAAGAGGGTCATTTCAACTGTACGGTTTTACGAAATAAATGGTGGTTTCTAATCGACGACAAACTGGTCAAGCCACAACAGTTGTGCGAAACCATCTTCAACGGAGACGTATATAAGCTGTTTTACAGCACAGAAGGTTTGCTATAAATACGTTTTGAAAAAACCTAAAAGTATAAGTGTAAGATCAACTATATATAAACATACGACAGACCATTCCGACAAACGTTTACCTAACTGTCACAGCCATATTAGATTTTTATTAATTATTATCCTTAAAGCGTGGTGTAAGCCTATAATCAACCCTTTACTGGTTACGCTCCTGAATGTTAGCAGTCTTCATTTTAATCCAAATTTAAAAAGATAGGAATGTGTTTTTTATTTAGAACATTTTGAGGTTCAAATTATGACTTATGAAAGTACATTGATATCAAAGCAAGGTGCATATTTTTATATTTTAAACTTTTTGTTGGCGATTTGATCCCCGTAGGCGCGTCTTGGCTTGAGCCCTTATATATATTATATATCTCATAAATAAAATTCTAAATGGACATCTGATCTCGAACCTATTATATAACTAACGATACTATACAGTACGATTACTTTAATCGATAAAGAAATGTTACTTCTTGATATATAACGCATTGTTAAGACCGAAAAACTGTAATAAATTCTTAATCAATGGATAAAACAATAGATAATTTATCTTATTACTCAAAATATGTTTTAGACCAGATAAAGGATAAAATGGAAGTAACGACACCTCCGAGTCCACCTGAATGTATACAGGACAGTACACTCACAGAAAAGGTTTTGTTGAAACCATATCCTGCATGATCTTTGTTCGATTTACCAACGCCCTAAACGTTTTAGTATAAACAGTATATAAAATCCATTCATTCTTTGATGTAGGTTGAGAGGTATTGGGACTTGCGCAAGGGACATCAGCTACATCACATTGTATCACACATCAACGGAACGCCGTTAATGTATTACGACATCAAGCTGCTTGACCAAGCGCCTTCCGACTATGAAAAAATATTGCTTGAACAATACGCAACCAAACATGGAGAAACATATACGAAGGATGGCTAAATGATAAGGTAATCACTGGTGTAATTGTTATAGTATTCCGAGAACCCACATAGTTACAGTAACTCACATCATGAATAAACATGTATTTTTCTATTGAAATTTAGATAATAAACAATTTTCTAATCGACGTACAAAGAAAATCTCAGGTAGGGGAAAGTAAACTATTGTCTGTACTGAAACTAGAATAACAACCGCAGATAGTGTTCTTAACAGTTTATTATATGAACAAGGGTAGTTTACTGGGAACTAAAACACTAGTGGAACGCTGATACGCCACTACATCAGGGACCAGGTGCGCGTATTTTTCGTATGTCACGCTGAGGATTGAGGAATAACATTCAAAATATTTTTCGCTTAAATCAATATAATAAACAGAACATTATACGGTTCGCTTGAAGATATGGCACTCGTGTCAAAAACAATTTCTCACTCGATGGCACTCGTGTCAAAAACAATTTCTCACTCGTTCGGTGCGCTCACTCGTGAGATTGTTTTTGCTACTCGAACATAAAATCCATGCTATATCCTCTATATTTAAATAAGACCACTTGGTATTCCTTATTTTGTGATATATATTAATCAGCTAAATATTTATCTTTACTAGGGTACCAATCGTGTAGCAGTCATGAGCAGCTTCATGTACACAAAACTATGTAAATATGGCGTCCATTCCATAATGAAATGGATTCAAAAGGTATGGATTTGTTTCTTTCAAAATAATGCTTTATACTGTATATTGCTCAACGCTGATTTCTGTGTGGGATCTTTCAGAACCCATTCTTTAAAGCAGACCTGTGCTTCATACCAATAAATTGGGACAATAATCACTGGAGTCTTGGGATAAGTCATTTTTTAAATGCGAATATAATAGCAAAAAAAACAGGGTTTTTTATAATTTTGTAATGGAAAGTAGTAAACATAAAGACTTCATTTAAAAACAAGTGCCTTTTGAACTGCAATAGAACCTGCGATAGAATACAATATACATACAGTATATGCTTCTGTTTCAAAAATTTAGAAAACGAATATTTTATTTAGTCAGGTTCCTAAAAAAATAAATTCAACTCAATAAATTTACGTTTTAGGCAATACTTTTCACTTCTGGACTGTTGTTCTAAATTAATCCTTATAGGTAGTGGACTTTACTTCTTTATGACCCTATGGCTATGGCGATGTTAAGAGAAGAGAGAAGCTTCCACAAAAAAATTAGGTAGGCCTTCAATGGACAGATAAATTAGGTGTTAAAAAATGTTTTGACATGGATGTATTACTTAACATTCACTCAACTTATAGATTATTGATAGCACACCTTCAAGCAATATGCCCAGAAATGAGTCCACCAGATGTTAAATATTTTGATAACTCCACAAAATTTGAGCCCAGACAACTTGATGGAAGTTCATGTGGGGTTTTTGTGTGCATGGTAAGTGAAAAATACATTTGATATAAATTATCTAATATATTATAGTTATGTTTTTCCCATTGCTTCAATTACTGTAATGTCTAGCGGCATATTTTGTTGTTAGGTAGCTGATTATATGGTCAATGGTTTGGATGTGAACTTTACACAGGTAATTATATCGAAGTACAATTTCTGGTAACTACATTATTTAAACCACAGAAAAACCCCTGCTGTATTTTAATATGTTTAAATTTATGATAAATCATATTGCATTTTTTACCTAAAGGAAGACATACCATGTTTAAGGAAATACATGGCTGTTCGCCTAGCAAATCCTGAAAAAAACGTCCAAATACCAATAAGGTCAGTTAAATGGATGTCACTTAAAATCTATTGTTGACATAATGGAATTTGTTGAACTATTCTCACTAACACATACTCTAAATTTTGGGTAGCTAGTAAAAGACAATTCATTTACAAGTACCAATTGCTTTTAGGAAACAAACAGAACATTGCAATGAGGATGACCATGCCACATACACACTTAAAGCAAAGGTTAGAAATATTCTGTCTCTATCAGATGATGGCTTAGAGTCTGTCTTTAAAGAAGTATTAAAGGAAGGTGATAAAGGATTCTTAACAATTAGCTTGGTTTGTAAGCGATTTAGACAGATAGTGGGAAGAGACTCTTTTAGACGCACCACTCACTTCGCCTGGTTAAACAGTGTGTGGGAATGGAATTCATCATCAAAAGAATTCAAAGAGGAGAATTACAAAATGTATGAAATAAAAACTTGTTTTCAATGTGGCATGTCATTTAAAGAAATGTATGGCTTTATTGGAAATGGTAAATTTGGCGAGTTCAGAAAATTTTACTCAACTCTTGAATATCCAGGATTCTGCAGTAAAGAGTGCATTAAAGAAAGCTAATTAATAAAGTTGGAAGTAATTACATCAGGACTATATATGGCATAAACCTTTAAGAAACATCATGTTTCATAATATCTGTTGAACATAATACCAGGCTGATATTTTCACAGATAGCTGCCACTGTTAAGCCGGTTTTCCACAAGCAATATTTTTGCGAAGCGACTTTATTCCTTTGTATTTGAGCAATTTGTTCCAGATGGTTGCAGTTAAGAGCTCTGGAACAAATGTAAAATGTCGATTCGCACGAATAATATCGCTAGTGGAAAACCGGCTTTAGACAGCCTTTGATGTCATTGTGTGCATAATATACTGACAACTCCACAAATTTATCACAATCTTCTTTCACCTATGTCCTTATGAAACATTTCAATTGGACTTTGCTAAAGCCCAAGGGTAATTTTCATTGTCTTTGAAAATATCAACTTAAAATTTGTTTGTAAATATATGCTAGTATTTAGTTGAACATTGTTGTCCATTTATAATATTCACATCTATATAAATCACATGTAAAATATTCACAATTATATAGTTTTAATATATATTTTTTACTTACACGATCTGCGCTGTATTTTCCCTTAGTAGTCTCAGACATTTTCTATTGGCAATGCTTAAACTCCCAATCCTTCCTTAAGCCAACTTGTCATATAGATCTCACTTTTTAAATATCTTTAAAATGGTCCGACATGTTGAATTAGAAAACAGATTTTTACTCAATAATGGCGGCATTGCATATCACTCCTCTATGCATCACTCCATATATGGCCGGGGCTCACTCGTGTAATTGGGTCTTCTCGTGCGGGTCTTCTCCGGTAATTGACACTGCCAAACCCTGCTCAAGAATTCAGCAGATGGTTGGCGCACGATTGTGGAGTTAATCCTGCGGAGGGATGGTGTTAGGCATGTTGGTATTGAAGAGCATGCTATTGTGTCGTATGAAGAGGACTGTGGAAAGGTACATAGTATGTGTATCAACGGGAGCTCCCTCTTCTTGTCAAACCAGCTTGGCGTAAGTAAATTAGATTTGTCTACAAGACAGCATTCCCTCATCATTCATGCTCGAAACGATCCCTGCATTTTAGCTAAATTTGGCTCTGATGTGCTCTACACGAATCAGAAAAGTTTTTTTGTTTAGAGGTTACGATCAATTGGGGATGTGGAGGTTTTTGCGGGTAAAGAAGAAGGTTCCTTGGATGGTTCAGTCATGACGTGTCGTTTCAGGCAACCGATGGGAATGGCAACAGAGCTTGACAGCGTAGTGTATTTGTGTGATGCGCAAACAAACAGCATCAAGTTACTGAGCAGAATGGATCACTGCGCAAGGTTCCTCAGGGCAATTGGTGCAATCTATGAGGCCTTCTCTGTTCATAACAAGGGCGCTTCGTATCAGAGGAAGACAACTGATGAAGCCATTGATTTAGTCCGCCATTGTAAAACTACGCTTGAAGAGTACAAATATGAAATTCGTGCTGAAAGTAACATCACTGGCGCTCTGAATGGTCCCAAAGGCCATGTCTCTGCAAAAACAGTTGGCTCTATTCAGTTAATGGAATGGGGCCTACTAAGATATATGGGGCCTAGTAAGTTGTATGACACTAGACATTGAGAATTGCCATGCCACCGTCCACGCCAACAAGGGAACATGTCCAAGCTTGAATTTGCAAGGTCGTTCGGTGCAACAATGAAAGAGAGCGTCAAACGTGCTGCTCACTGGGCTGCATATTACCACACCGGTAGAAGGTCCTGGTACCCAAAACCAAACACAACAGTTTCTCTTCAAAATGTACCATTGATGACACCTCTACCAGCGGTCAGTCTTTCTTCAAATGACTGTGAGCTATTACGCAACTGGGCCTCAGCATATAGTGCAGCAGTGCGTCAAAGGACACTACGCCAGGAGACAACAATGGCTAAACACGGAACTTTACCAGAGTTTGTTTATCAACGCCATCTCATAGTTGGCGAGACAGTCAATTTAAATTTCGAATTGGACGAAGATGAATACCTGCACAACGATATCGATCCGACTAAGGACGCTAATGACGGCAATAACGATGACGAAGGCCAAGACTACTGCGGTTTTTCAGTTTTTATTGTTTTTTTTGTTTGGATTTTCGGGTTCTATTAGGCCCCAACGCCCCCCTCAAAGTGAAGTGACATAGACGAATTGCTGGATAGACCTCTGATTAAGACTTCCACTAGAAAGGAACCCGATGGAAGTATACAAATTGAACATTGTGACATTCATACAGAAATTCAATCTTTCCGAGAATCAAAAATTAATATTGAGGCTCACCGACAATTGTTCACAGTATGCTTCGATGATGGTAACTGCAATGAAGGCTGATATAGACATGTACAAGAATCCCCATATGAATTTGCTTGCCAGACCAGGTGTTTGTTTTGAAGGGGAGGAAGCTGTTGGGACTGGACCGTTGAGAGAATTTCTGCAACTTGCTGTAAAAATAGTGAATGATGGTATTGGTTTTAGTACGAAACCTGTCATTTACTTTGAAGGCAAACCCAATCACAAGTTACCTGTGCACAGTCCATCATTAAGAAACAAAGGAAGTTTTCGAGCTGTCAGTCAGATTTGGGCACACTCATATTTTTACATGGTGGTCAAATTGACCTGTCAATGCCTTTTAATGCATTTTGTAAGAGAAAAATGGAAGATCAAGCTTGATGACATTTTGGCTGGTAACAGAAGACAAAGTTTTTGTATCGGTTACAACTTGGAAAGAAAAATCAATATTTACTCAATGTGTTAATGTAACAAATGTTTTTAGGCATGGAAGTTGTTGGGTTGAAAACCTTTATTGAAAAACATCCACAATCTATTGAGATGATGATTCCCTCTCAGAAGGATGCATCAATCAATGTTAATGGAATGAAATCCAAAATACTATTTGAAGAGGATGGTAAAGAAGTACACAATGCTGTCAAGGAAATGTTTCTGCAATACATTGCTGTAATAGGCAGTTGGATAGAAGGTATATGGGTTGAATTTGCTTTGTTTCTAGTATGGAGTGAGCTTTTTACATAGAAGATATAATTAATGTTTCAATTGGTGCCCAAAAAGAAGACCTTTGCTGTTTTTGGACTGGGTGGAACATTCTTCCTCCATGTTCGGAAAAGCTCAATGTTCTGTTTGATAAAACGTAAACCATAGAGCTACCAATGGCAGAGTGTTGTTTTAACATTCTCAATTTTAACTATTGCATGCTCTGAACATTTATATCTTTTATAGCTAAATAGGGTCGTAAATTAGTCTTTATAATGCTTTATGCAAATATAAATTGTATTTTTATTTAGGCCACGGCTTTTTTTTTTTGTTGGATTACGGATTTTGCTCAACAATATCAAAGGGCGGGAGGGCAAAAAATAAAAAAAAATAAAAGAAAGAATTGCCTATTAAATCTCTAATACGACAGTGACATGAACATCCAATAGATGATCATATAAAGTGACCCCGCGCACGGTCATGTTGCGTGGCTATGCGTGACAATTACGTGTGAACATTTAGCCTGCACCGCTGCACGTCTCTGAGGTAAAAATAACCCGACATTCCCACACGTTGTTTCTCTACATTTTATATTTTTGGGCATATTGCTTGGGAATATAAATGGAAATAATACTAAATACTTTTTAAAATATGGTCGGATGAGAAAAAAACAACACATGGAAACTGATGGGCGGCACTTTCATTTTTTTTCTGGTTTTTAAAAATACAAGGTTGGGAAATCTGTAATCCAACAAAAAAAAAAGCCGTGGCCTTAATATGACATACATGCAGGGTCCCTATGGCTACCAGCCGACGGCTGAATGGGCTACCCTGTCAAAATAAAGTTTTAATAAATAAATAATAATAAATAACAAATGATGAACATTTGCTATTTGAAAGAGTTTTAAAGGGGGTTCACATTGCAGCTGCTTCTATACCCTTGAGAAGCAGAAAAATACCTCATTTACGCACGTCATAAGAATGGCAACACTACCGTGGGACGAAAAGTTATGAATATATTATACCTTCTTAGGAAAACCCCAGAATGTTGTAAACGTTTTTGCACTCCTTGCAGGAAAACATACCCCACAATGCTGTACACCATTTTGGCACTTCTGGAAGACCCCAGAATGTTGTACACATTTTTGCACTCATCAGGAATACACCAGAATTAATGTTGTACACATTATTATATATTGGACATGCATTATACAATTTTTTTTTAAGTTGCAAGGGATTTTGTTTTACAAGAAAATTTAAAATGTTTTTCAAATAAGAAAATGTTTTTCTATTTGAAGGAGTTTTAAAGGGGGTCGTCATCGGGTTAAGTTGCCGTTCATTTCCGCTAGCAAATAACTCTCACATTGCAACTGCTTCTATATCATTGAGAAGCCAAGAAAATACCTCATTTGAGCACGTCATAAGACTGGCAACGCTACCATGGGTCGAAAAGTTATGCATATATAGAACTCCTTAGCAAGATCCCAGAATGTTGTACACAATTTTGCACTCATCAGGAAGACCCTAGAATGTTGTACACATTATTATATATTGGACATGCATTATACAATTTTTTTTTAAGTTGCAAGGGATTTTGTTTTACAAGAAAATTTAAAATGTTTTTCAAATAAGAAAATGTTTTTCAATTTGAAGGAGTTTTAAAGGGGGTCGTCATCGGGTTAAGTTGCCGTTCATTTCCACTAGCAAATAACTCTCACATTGCAACTGCTTCTATATCATTGAGAAGCCAAGAAAATACCTCATTTGAGCACGTCATAAGACTGGCAACGCTACCATGGGTCGAAAAGTTATGCATATATAGAACTCCTTAGCAAGATCCTAGAATGTTGTACACAATTTTGCACTCATCAGGAAGACCCTAGAATTAATGTTGTACGCATTATTGCACATGCATTATATAATGGGGATTTTGTTCAAATATCAACAATGATATCTAAATATTTTCTCTAACATCAATGAAGGTTAACTTGTCCTGTCTGAGATTCAAAATCTAACTAGTAATGAAGATCCTAGAATGATGTGCACATTTTTACATGATTTGTCAAGATATTGTTCTCCCAAGAAAATTTGAACTGATTTTGAAAAAAAATTCTTAAAATGATATTTGTTTTTTTAAAAAAGAAAGGGATTTTTTTGCTGTGTTAAATTATTTTTTGCTTAAGCCTCAGTACATATCACCAAACACCCTTGATTTTGTTGTTGGGTTTTTGTGGTAAGCCAGCCAACGGCTTACCACATTGTTACTGAAATGTTGGATGTCGCGTTTGATGCCAACCACTCAGCGGCTAGCATTCAATCACGTGGCTAAAGTCAACATGATGAGACGTCACAGAATACCTATCAGAAAGACAACTCTATTGTTTTTTGCGTAAGTGTAATCCGTCAGATTCGTCACTCAGCAAGTATTGTAAATAAAGGTAATCACCCCCTGCCAATGTCTAAAATGCTGCAATTTTTGTGGGTAGCCTGCGCATGCGCGGCTAACCACTATGTAGTCGAAAAAGTGTCCGGATGTTTGTGTGTGTGTGTGTGTGTGGGTGCCACATCTTCGGCAATCATCGGATATACGAAAGATGACGAACGTACCGTTCGTTTTACGATTGCCTACGATTGCCTATGGTTCTTCTACTTCCGGAAAATTTCGTTGTTTTCGACGTTTGTCAAATTTTAAAGCGAAGGTGAGTACTTTAAAGTTTGTGTATTTTTTCTGACATTTGTTATTTTTATCGCTCGTTTTTCTACCGTGTTCGAGGAATTTCTATCACAATCGAATTATTGGAGCGTACATATTATATATTCGGAGCAAACTTGCCTGCACTGACGGTTTGTCAGGCGCTCTACGTGTCGAAGGTGCACGTATCAAAATCAAATCAAATCAAATCAAAATATCAAAAATCAAATCAAAAATCAAATAAACTGGAGCCATTGTTGCTCGCACTGGTCGTCATAGATCAGGGTACTATTCACGTGAAAGGCCACGTATCAAAACTAAACCTAGCCATTGTGCAGGTATTGAAATTAAACCTAGCCATTGTGCAGGTATTGAAATTGAACCCAGTCATTGTGCAGGTATTGAAATTGAACCCAGCCATTGTGCGGGTATATAAAACGACAGCCGTTGTGCTGGTATACTCAAACAAACTATTGCGGCCAACTTGCAGTTACAACACTTTTTAACAAATATACTGACGACCTTATAATATACCCAAATATTACCTGCCGACTTGCAGACAAATTACTGACAAATAAGACACTTTATAAAGTCAGGAATTGACATTTGATTTCTGAGTTCTAGACCATAAATATGGGTGTGACTATTGAAGTGTATCGCGCCAGGATTGGTTCACATCACAATTTTACAGATTGTCGCAACAGTCTGTGTCGTCTTAAAGGTATACTTTGGAATCAATTACTATTAATGTTTTACTTTAATGTATTCTGCTTGCCTTATCTCAAAAGCCAATGGAATAAGAGCCAAAAAAACAGTGAATTATGCTTATGGTATGTTCAAATGATATACTATCATAATGTTTATGTGCCATTATTACTAAGACTTTCAAATGATGTGGAGGAAAATCCAGGTCCTAGGACTATAAATGATATAGTTGACCCTGCTTGTACAATCCATGCTGATTTTAATCAAGGTAATGACTTAATGTTTGGTGTGAATGCTGGTAAGCAGTGTGTTGCCATGTCACTATATGCAATTGTTTACAAAGAAATTAAATCAGTCAATATTTGGGACAAGTCAATTCTAAATACAATTTTAGTAAGTGGAAACAGTTTGTATTGTGTTATCAGCCGGAGTATAAATAGGAGTTATTTATTATTAACTGATGTCCCTGAGTTTGTAGACATAGATAATCATACCTTTAATTTGCAATACAGTGATTCCTTTTCAGGAGCATTATATTTGAGTGAAAATAGTTTTCCATATGTGACTCTTGAGCATGCTTTGAATGAGGTATTTTATTCTTTAAACTATAAAAGTTGTTTACTTACAATTGGTATGAACACTGTGGCAATCATGATGCCTTTTCCTGATGTGTTTAAAGTGTTTGATTCTCATTCACGAGATATGTATGGTAGACCATCCGCATTGCATTATTGTGTTTTGATATCAGTGGAAGGGATAGAAAATCTTGGAGAGTATTTTCGGTTGACATCAAGGTGCAATGAAGCAAATATTGTTTTGCCATTTGAGTTAAAGGGTGTAAAGTGCATCAATAATAATGATTTAGAGACACTAGTATTGTCTACAGAAGATAATGCAGATACAGATATGACAGATACTACTCAGCTACTTGAACAACATAATGTTAACAGAAAAGAATTGAACAATCAAATAATTGGTAATACATGTAGAAAAAGGGTGAGACCAGATGAGTCCACTCAGCAAAGGGAAGCTAAACTTGCAAAAAAAAAGAAATGCTAAGAAAGTAAGAAGGCAAAATGAGTCAGCAGAGGAAAAAGAAGCTAGACTTGCAAAAAATAGAAATGCTGAAAAAGTAAGAAGACAAAATGAGTCAGCAGAGGAAAGGGAAGCTAGACTTGCCAAAAATAGAAATGCTGAAAAAGTAAGAAGACAAAATGAGTCAGCAGAGGAAAAAGGAAGCTAGACTTGCAAAAAATAGAAATGCTGAGAAATTAAGAAGACAAAATGAGTCAGCAGAGGAAAAGGAAGCTAGACTTGCAAAAAATAGAAATGCTGAGAAAGTAAGAAGACAAAATGAGTCAGCAGAGGAAAAGGAAGCTAGACTTGCAAAAAATAGAAATGCTGATATAGTAAGAAGACAAAATGAGTCAGCAGAGGAAAAGGAAGCTAGACTTGCAAAAAATAGAAATGCTGAGAAAGTAAGAAGACAAAATGAGTCAGCAGAGGAAAAGGAAGCTAGACTTGCAAAAAATAGTAATGCTAAGAAAGCAACAAAACAAAATGAAACTACTGAGCAAAGGAATGCAACAATTGCAAAAGAGAAAGAAAGAAAGAGAGCTTCTAGAAAAAATACTTGCTCTGAAAAGCAAAAGAAAAGTAATGAATCACATTCAGTTCAAAATATTGCAAATGCTGAGAATTGTTACTTGCCTAGTGAAGATATTGACACATTGACACTTGTAAGAAATTTTCATAACTCTGTATCTACAGGACCTTTGTATGTTTGCACTTGCTGTGACCAATTATAGTATAAACATTCTGTTTCTCTGGCAGACAGACTAAGAATGGTCAATCCTGATATAACCAAGTATCTACAAAATATAAAAAAAGTGTTGATAACATTGAATGGCTTTGTCAAACTTGTAGCAACCATTTAAAGAAAAGCAAAGTCCCCCCTTGTGCAATTGCTAATGGCATGAAATTTCCAGAAAGACCTTCTTTCTTTGATCTAAATGAACTAGAATGTCGACTTATTGCTCCTCGGTTGGCATTTCAAAAGATTTTTCAGGCCCCAAGAGGTGGCCAACTCAAGATTACAGGTAATGTTGTCAATGTGCCTGCAGATGTAAACAGCACTGTTAATGTTCTGCCCAGACTATCAGATGAGATGGGTACTATTAAAGTTCAACTTAAACGAAGATTACAATACAAAAGCTCTGCACTTTCAATGAATATAAGACCTCACAAAGTAATGCAAGCAACTGCATGGTTAATTAACACAAGTGCTTTGTATCAAGATCAAGGATTATTATAAACCAGAATTGGTTGAGAAACCTGGAAGAGTCATTGGATGTGACCAGTGATATTGAGACATCAAATGGTGCAGATGATTTAACATCAAACCTCCCTGAAGATGAATGGAGTGAGGCTGAAGCAGAAATACCAGCTGGAGTAACTGATAGTATGTTGACTCCTCCAGACTTTGTCAGTGATAGTGAGAGACAGGAAATCTATAATGTTGCTCCTGGTGAAGGTAACAGGCCGTTGAGTATATTTAGAGATCAGTACTCTGAAGAAATGTCATATCCAGGCATATTTCTTGGACAAAAAGACCTGATGATAAACAAAGGTTAAGAAGTGTTTACTATAGTGACATATGTAAATCTGAGTTAAGAAGATCTGATCGACGAGCTGCCATGTGTGTTGAAAATATATTCTTCAAAGCTAAGAAGTTACAAATGAAATTCTTGATTGGTCAGTCACAGATTGCACTCCGAAAAAACAAAATAGGTACAGAACACTTACTGCTGGAGACCTAAAAACTGCAGAAGGTTTACAAAGTTTAATAAACCATGATGATGGTTTCAGATTCTTGAAAACTCTTAGGGGTTCACCACCTTATTTTGAACGAGCCAAAAAAGACTTGTTTGCCATGATTCGTCAGTTAGGACCAGCATCATTATTTTGCAGTTTCTCGTCAGCAGAAACCAAATGGAATCATTTATTAAGAATTCTTGGTAAACTTATTGATCACAAGGATTATAGTGATGACGAATTGAACAATCTTAATTGGGAGGAAAGGTGTCGACTAATACAAAGTGACCCAGTAACCTGTTCAAGACATTTTGATTTTCAGTTCAATACCTTCTTAAAAGATGTCTTAATGAGTGAGCTTGCTCCATTAGGAAAAATTAAAGATTGGTTTTATAGAGTTGAATACCAACAGCGGGGATCACCTCATATTCATATGTTGATATGGCTTGAAAATGCACCTGTGTTTGGTGTTGATAAAGATGAAGATGTTGTTGCTTATATTGATAGCATAATTACCTGCAGCAAACCAGAAGATGATACAGAATTACTTGATCTTGTAAATAGACAGACACACAGACATTCTCATACTTGCAGGAAAAAGTCTAAAATATTTGTAGATTCAACTATCCACAACCACCAATCAGATGTACTCAGATTCTTTATCCACTCGATGGAGATATCTCTTCAACTGTTGCTAAAGCCAGCAAAGAATTGTGGAAAGAGATTAAAACGAAACTAAATGATTTTAAGGAAGGTAAAGACATTACTTTTGATGAATTAGTACAAGAGTTAGGTGTTTCGGAACGGCAATATATTCTTGCTATACGATCATCTTTGAATACTCCACAATCTTCTTAAAAAGAAGTCCAAATGAATTAAGAATCAATAATTACAATCCTGTTTGCCTTCGGGCATGGCGAGCAAATATGGACATTCAATATGTCTTAGATGTATATGCATGTGCAATGTATATTGTATCATATATTTCCAAAGGTTAAAAAGGAATGAGTGAATTACTGCGTAAAGCTTGTGCTGAAGCGAAAGAAGGTAATACAAATATCAAACAGCAAGTTCGTGATATTGGCAACAAATTTTTGAATTCTGTTGAAATATGTGCACAAGAAGCCGTGTATATTGTTTTGCAACTTCCAATGCGAAAATCGTCACGTAATGTAATTTTCATTAACACATCTCCTCCTTCTGAAAGAGTCGAATTACTTAAACCATTGAGTGAAATAGAGAAAATGTCTGATGAATCAGAAGAAATTCAGTCTGGTGGTCTTTTAAAAAGATATGTACAACGACCTGATTGTTTGCAAAATGTGACACTCGCCGATTGGGCAGCATGGTACGACTCTTGTGGTCAAAAAACATATAGGAAAACAAACAAGCCTGACGTTGATAATCTTCCATTAGAAAATAATGATGAAGATAATGACGACAAGTTGTTAATAAATGACGATAATCTTCACGTTGTAAAAACTCCTGAAAATATGAAAATAAAGAAAAGATCTCGAGCTAGGGTAATCCGAAGTGTCTGGTTCAATAAAGAGACTCAACCTGAAAAACATTATCGCGAGTTAATTATGCTCTTTACTCTTTGGCGGAATGAGCAAATTGATTTGATGGGAAATTATTCCTGTTTTGAAGAGCACTATTTAGCTCGAAATGAAGAAATCAGTAAGCAAATGGAACAATATGCTGTTTGTAGTGAAGACTTAAATGAAATTGGACATCATTTAGATGAATGTGATGATGATGCTTTTGATACCATTGCACCTGTGACACAAGATGTTGAACGACATGATCAGGATGAAGGATGCGTGGATACACATCCTGATTTAAACGAAACATTTGATCATTCATCTTGCTGAAAATTTGGGCATACCGTCTTCTTTACCAAATAATGAGCCGTTGATTTTAAATGAAATGCAAGATAACGAATATCGAACCTTAGTTCAGCTGCTAAATAAGAAGCAAAGAGAATTCTTCTATCATGCTCTCCATTTGATAAAAACATCAGAAAAGCCATTTTACGCATTTCTCAGTGGAAGTGGAGGTGTCGGAAAGTCTCACCTTATTAAATCGATATACCAGGCAGCATTGAAGTATTACAATTCACGAGCAGGGGACGATTTTCATCGTGTTCATATATTATTGCTTGCTCCAACAGGAAAAGCTGCATATCTTATAAAAGGTAACACGATTCACAGTGCCTTGCGCATTCCAGCCAGTCAGTCATTGAAAAATTATAAACCATTGGATTCTGGAAGACTGAATACGATGAGATGCGAACTAAGTTCATTAAAGTTAATATTGCTTGATGAGATATCAATGGTTGGCAACAGCATGTTCACCATCCAATTGAACAACCGTTTAAAAGACCTAAAAGGTAGCAAAGAAGATTTCGGCGGTGTCAGCATAATCACAATTGGTGACTTATTTCAACTCAAACCTGTAATGGATGGTTACATTTTTACAGATGTTCAGTCTTTAAGTTCTTATGATGTTCTTGCCCCGAACTTATGGAGAAAATATTTTAGAATGTTTGAGCTTG